AAATATAAATTGGTGCAGCCACTATGAAAAACAGTATGAAAATGCCTCAAAAAATTTAAAATAAAACACAACGCAATATATAATATATACATATACATATATATATGCCTTACTGTTCAATTGTACACCTGAAAGTTACTAGATTTTGTTAACCAATGTCACCATAATAAAAAATAAATAAATAGATAGATAGATAGATGATAGATAGAATGAATGAACGAACGAACGAACTACCATATGATCCAGCAATCCCACTTTTAGGTATATACCCAAAAGAAATAAAACAGCATGTCAAAGAGATATCTGCACTCCCATGTTCACTGAAGCATTAATTCACTATAGCCAAGATATGGAAACAACCTAAATATCTATCAACAGATGAATGAATAGACATAAGACAGATAAATTCATACACGCAATGGAACATTATTCAGTCATGAGACAAAAGGAAATCTTATCATTTGCAACAACATGGATGGACCTTGAGGGCATTATGCTAAGTAAGATTAGTCGGACAAGGAAAGACAAATACTGCAAGGTCTCACCCTACATGTGAAATCTAAATAAAAATAAAACTCACAGAAACAGAGAGTAAAAGTGGTTGCCAGGGGCTTGGCAGTGGTGAGAAATATAGGGAGAGGTTGGTAAAAAGGACATAATTTCTGCTATAAAATGAATAAGGTCAGAGGATTTAATGTATAACATGGTAATTTTGGTTGGTAACACTGCATTGTATAAATAAAAAATGCTAAAAGAAAAGTGAAATATGCTAATGTTGTCACAAAAAAATTAAAAACAAAACAAAACAAAGTAGATAGAGCTGCTCTGCTGTACATGACCCACAGCAGTATATAAGGGTTCCGATTTCTCTACATCCTCACAAGCACTTGGTATTATCTATTTTTTTTGATTACAGACATCTTAGTAGGTTTAAAGTGGCATTTCACTGTGGTTATTATTTGCATTTCTCTGATGGTTAATGATGTTTTCATGTATTTATTGGCTACTAACAAGGTGTAAACACACCACTGATTTCTGTATATTGATCTTGTATCCTGAATCTTCCCTGAACTCATTTATTAGCTCTAATAATTTTTTACTGTATCCCTTAGGGTTATCTATATACAAGATAAGATTATGTCATCTGCTAAAGGAGAGAATTTACTTCTTGCATTGCAGTCTCTTATTTCTTTTTCTTGCCTAATTACTCTGGCTTGAACCTCCAGCGCAATATTGAATAGAAGTGAAGAGAGCCCACAATCTTTTCTTATTCCTTATCTTACTGGGAAAGCATCCATTCTTTTACTATTAAGTATAATGTTAGCTGTGGGTTTAATGTAGATGTCTTTTGTCAGGTTGAGTAAGTTCTCTTCTATTCCTAGTTTGTTTAGTGTTACATCATAAAAAAAGAGTTGGAGTTTTTCAAATTTCAAGTTTCTTGTTTGTCTTTTGGGAATACTATGTGATTTTTGTCCTTTTTTTCTATTGATATGCCGTAAAACATTAATCAAATTTTGTATGTTAAACCAACTTTGCATTCCTGTGCTAAGTCTCACTTGGTCATGGTATAATCCTCTTTATATCTGCTGGATTTAGTCTGTGAATACCTTGTCCAGGATTTTTGCATCTAAGAAATATTGATATGTTTTTCTTGTGAAGTCTTTATCTGGTTCTTGATATTTTAAATTACAAGTTTCATCTAAATCTTAAACTGGCAAAAGTCTAGAAAATTGCTGAGTTTGTTCATCTGACTGATACTATACATATTTATGATATTTATCCCAAGAAAATTATATTTTGAGAAATTTCCCTTGGGAATGATATAACTATACATAAAATGATTTGTGAGGTTTTCTAGGCATTATTTATACATGTCAACACTCTATATATATGTCTGAAGGGTATAATTTAGGGGAAAATACTATAAATGTACACATTTATATACCAATTATCAGAGATAAAATACAGAATACTAAACATCAAGATTTAGAAACTAAAATAATATGAAAAGTCTTATTTTTAAATACTTTCATGGTTCTACTATTTAGAGTAGACAGAATGCCTCTAATTTTTTTTTTTAGCAAAAACAAACAAAAATAAAACAAAAAAAAAGAAAACACATGCACAGAGTTTTAGCTTAACTTTGTCAAAATATTAAAATAATTATAGGTAATACATTTTACAATGATTTAATAATCATAAGAAAATACCACAATGAATTCAGATGTATATACTATTTAAAAATCAAAATCATCAGAGAGCCCCTTAATGGAAAGAACACTTAATAGAAATTCAATGGGAAAAATCATTAATATTTAAAAAATGACCCCTTTAATAGCTACAATAAATGCTTAAAGAGAAAATCTGCTAAATTAGGATGATAACAGAATTATCTGAAAATAACACATCTACTCACATAGGAAGAAATTTTGCTTAAAACATACAAAGACATATTTGTTTTCCTTAAATCACAGATGGAATGTTACTTTAAAAACTGTAAAGGCTAAGATTGAATATGTGTTTATCTACTAAGCATATCTGGAAAAATAAAACAAATGTGAAAGGCTCTAAAAAATCATTTTTCCTCTAAATTTCTTTAGCTCTTCTACCCCCAGCTGAGATGGTCTTGTGCTTCCTCCTTTGCCAGCTGTTCCCTGTGCATTTGGCTTTAATCAGGTGCAGAGCAGGAACTCAACATCCTGTTGCCTTATTCTGATTAAGAGGAGTCAAATTCTACAAATTGGCAGGTTTCTGCTTTTAGTGATTCTATTTGATGAATCATTTACTTTTAAGTATTTGAAAGGGACCATTAGTGAAGCAGCAGCCCAGCTTGTTGCTATTTTCCGGTCTATTTATAACCAGCCACTTCAAGGATCCAAATACCTTCTTTATCTACTAACTTAAAATTTAGGAATACAACAAAAAAGAAAAAAAAAAGTTAACTACCTACTATCTAAAATAATAACAGTAGTGATCAACAGCTAAGACGCTAGGTTGTAGTGGTCTTAAAACCATTAAAATATTAAATTAGCAGACTAAGAGACCATGGTGCCTTATTCCTAACAATCAACAGACATAAAGTGACTTTGTAAAGTCTGAGTCCAAAAACTCAAGGATTCAGTCTCTAGAAACAGTAAATACAGAATTAAAGCTATAAAGAGGAAAAGAGCTAAAAAATAATATAATGTGTAAGAAAGACTCTAGGGAGTATCTTAACTTGAATTCCTAAAACTCTAGTCCCAGATATAAGGCAATGAAGGTATTAGCATCTTGGAAGGGTAGAACATAGTTATATATCCACTAAGTTCCCATCCCCACCCATTCAAGAAACAGCTCCCCACTGCATCACACCACGCAGTTTGCACTCTGGAGCTCTAGTCACACTGTCAGGTGACAATAACAACGCATATAACACCCAGCTGGTGAGGTGTCAAGGAGCCAGACTTCCTCAGCTGTACCGTCTTGATTTAGAGATTGTGAAATGACAGTCTCATTAAGACTTGGCCACTGCCTCTTTCTCAACATCATTAAATCGCTAACATAGCAAGCCCAACATCAAATGGCCTTTTTGTAATCCTATTAAGCCAAAGGATGAGAAAAGCTGAACTTGAGGATGAGGAAATGCTTTTCATTGAAACGAGTTTCATATCTATTTAATGGCCTAACAGCCTCCCTAAACCTAGCTTGGCAACAGAATATGGAAAGATGATACAAACAACACATGTATACTATACCAAAACCAGGAAGATGCAAAGCCAAAAAGATAGGGAACATGAAAGTCTAAAGAAACCAAAGTGGAGCAAAATTTCTTTAAAAATTTCATTGGGGGAAGGGGAGGCTGAAAAAAATAGAAAGCAAATAAATCAGCCAAAGTATGAAGAGCAAACCTTCAAGATACTAAATGTAAATATGACACCTGCATAGAAAGCATACCTCTTGATCCCTAACAGAAAAAAGGTAATAATTTTTGTGGCATTTTTCTGGTATTCTGTATTTTTTGAGATTCACAATATAAAAAGTAGTATAGTGATGACATACATTATGTAAAATAATACAGAGCTTCGATTGTTTTTAAAATTTAAATTTTAAAAGGAAAGGAAAAATCACGAATGATATCACTTGTTAAATCTGCTAGCAATTATGTAGATTACAAAATGAAAATCACAACCACATTTAACGCAGTATAAAACTCAGCTTCTTAGCTACACAATATTTGTTATTATGTATCTACCATAGGTGCTGGTGCACAGAAACATTTTAGGCTGATACATGTATTTTTTAATTTCACTGTATATTTGACTATCTGTGAGAAAAACATTCCAAAAAAAGATAAGATTTTACTTTATATGTAAATAATTTGTCAATCAATTAGAAAGCATCATAAACAATTCTGAAGCTTTAGAATACACTAAGAGAATCCCCAAAATTCTAACCAGCTTTCCTTCTGAGAAATAATTACCCTATTCAGGCATTTGTCTTTTAAGAACTATGTGCTCTTAACATATAATTAAGAGGTTTCTTTAAAAATTATTTATAATCCACTTCTATAATTTATTTCCTTAAATACACAGATTCTGAGCCTACTTAGAAATCATGCCAGGCAATATTAACTAGGTCCTAGAATCTTAGGTGAGTGATTGTCAAACTGTGTTCCTAGAGGTGTTTCAGGCATTTTTCAAACAGCTGAGTTGAATTTCATTTTAAATTGTATTGAAAACTATATGCAAAGTCACATGTAAATTATACTAACATTTAAAATAGTGGCAGCTACCGAAATATGTACCTAGGCTATCAAATTAAATTCATTTTTATTTAGACTTCAGAATAAAGCTTCTCTTGTCATTTTTATATGTATATGGACTAATTAGTGTGGATACAAATTACAAAAGGACAGAACTTTTGTCTCTTCCTCATGATAACTATTTGTTGGATAAACAGACTGTTCTGTGCTATAATTTTCAAAATTCAAAACATAAAAACTTAGTGGAAAATGGTGAAACCTGTAGAGCACTGGCAGCAGTAAAGGTGAAACCCCTCTTCAGAGACCCTCCTGTAGCGCAGGTTACAGAAACATTCCACAGAAAGCAGAGCTGCAACACACAGAAAAATTTTCACTCCAAAGGTGAAAAATAAGAATATAAAAGATTTTCTAAGATAAGCACATTTGAAATATTCAAAGAGGTAAAATAAGGAAGCCACCAATAAAAAAAAAACGGTAGATTTTAAAGAAAGCACTAAACAGAAATTCCAAAATAGTTAGTAAAATAATAATTAAAGGTGTGAATGGATAAGATGAGAAATAGACAAAACTATTCAAAAACTAGCAATACCACCATTCAAGAGTGCAGGCAAAATTAAGACATTTTCAGACAAAAGTAGGAGTTTATAACACAACTTCACTGAAACTACCACTAAAGGACCTACTTTAACAAGAAGAAACTTAAACTCAAAAAATAGGAACAGGATGCAAGAAGTAAGGGTGAGTAAATAAATTGGTAAACATATGGATAAATCTAAACAATTGCAAGTTATATTAAAAAAAACAATAATAATTATTAATTCAGAAGATCTGCAAACAGAGCAGTATTAAATTACTGGACAATAATTGGAGCATGGGAAGCAGCATATTACACTTAAAATGTTCTGAGTAGGCAGTGAAAACTATTAATTAGGTTTAGACTTTATAAAGTATATGCCTTAAAACTGAGCATAACAGCAAAAAGGATACAAATGAGAAGTATAACTTCTAAACCAGCAACTGAAGAAAAATAAAAATTTGAAACTAACGTAGGCCAAGAATCGAAAAAAGAAGCAAAAAGGTACAAAACACATTAATGACATTGAAATAAGCAACTATATATCAGTAATAACAATAAATGAAACATTAAATTCTCGATAAAAGTGATAAACAATAAAACTGAAGTTACAAAAAGGAAATGCCTAATTATGTTTTATAAGTACATGCTGCAAACAAAAAGACAATGAATGAAATGGTTGAAAATATAAGGAACAGAAAAAGAAATCCCAGCTACTTTAAAAAAGAAAGGTGTTTCGGTAATATTAATCCTTTTTTGCTTTCACTCAGAATCATCAGCCATCAAAAAGATATGAACATCATAAACAAGGAAAAACAGATAAATCCACAGTGATAGTGAGAGATTTTAAAACTTTGTGAGATTGTAATCTTCAATACAATTATTTAGGAAAAAAAGACAAATGAGCTTAACAACTCAATTGAAGAAGAAACAGAAAAAGTACCCAAAGAAAGTAGAAGATATTAAAATTGATTGTTTTAATTTTGAAAAGAAATCTAATTTGTTTCCATTTGTATTCACATATTGCTAAACCTACAAACTAAGGTCTTAAAAAAAAAGATTGGAAGAATTCAAAAACTATCAGCTCTGTAAATCTGATGGGGTGAGGAGTGTGTGAGAGGGAGGGATATTTAATGAGTGCTTATTAAATGGCCAGGATAAAATGGTCATTTAAGGAGCTTAGAGCCTACTGAAAATATTTAGAACTCTTAAAGCATGTGTATGTGCACATACAAATGCAGACACACACATACACGAGGATTTCTTTTTGTATCTGAAAAAATGTCAAGTGTTTATTTAACTTTATACAAGCTGTTATTAGCCAAGTAAATTCAACTAACATATCACATGAGTAATGACTATGCTGGCTTAAAAGAAAGTACTTTCTATCTTGTACCTTAACCTTTGGATCTATAAATGAATGAATGAATGAATGATCATTCAAAATGAATAAAGATGCATTCCATGTAGCCAGTTGCCAGATAAAGATGTTTTCTGGCAATGTGAAAATACATTTCAAAGTGAACTTAGTATTTGGAAAGTGAAAAACAAAAAGATGGGCAAGTTCATTTTTTAATCCTAACAAAGCTATGCTGAAAATAATGCTTGCTTGAATGAATAACCATCTCTGTAAAGAAGATTTTACTAGTCACATGTTAAATTATCAAGTCTCCCTTATTCTAAAATGCTATGTTTAAAAAAAAGTTTTTAAACTATGTGGTCCTTAGAATTTTTGACATAAAATAACTTTTAAAATTAATTTTAAAATTGCTTTGCACATTTTGCTCAAGTTTTTTTTCTTTTTTAATGTAAAAGGTTTAACCCTCAGAACAATCAATTTAAGTTCAATTAGCACCGCTTAGCTGCCCAAAACAAAACAGTGCTCAAAAGGCAAAGCAAGGTCTAAGGATGAGGACCAGGTCTTGGGCCACGGATTCCTTGGGCTTTCTTCTGGCTATGTGGCTCTCTATCTCGGAGTGCAAAAAACCTCCCAACTTCTCTCAATTCAAACTCAGAAGGCCTTGGTTCCCAAGCACACACCTTCACTCCGCATTCATTAGGCTCCATTAGCTCCTTTGCCGATAGCTGGCATCATTTTTCTAGCCCTAATCCAAACATCTTCAGTATGCATTGTGAGTTTATGAAGAGGATAATAAGGACTTTTTCAAACACAAAGTCATTCGAAAAGACCTTTGCAATTTATACATGAAACATAAAAAGGTTAAATATTAATGTGTAGACAATTTTTTCTTGGTAAATGAGAATATGCTATTCAAAACCACCAGCATCTGGAGTAGTCATTTTTGTTTTCTACAACATTGGTAGAAACTTATTGTGGAAGTCAGTTTTGTTCTTTGTATGATTTGTACATGTTATCAGAAAAAATGTTTTATTTTAGCATTAATATTTCCTAAACTGCTCATAACTACTCAGTATTTCCTAGGAATTCTTCAGAAGGATCGGTTTTGATGATGCTTATGAATACATTGCAAGTGAACTTAATAGATCCAGTGTTGGTGGATGATGCAGTCAACTACCTGACCACCAGATTAAGTGGGATGTTAGTACATATTAGTCAAGTCTAAATTAGTTACTTATAAAATGGATAGTAACATCTTCATTAATTTATTGAATGTGGATGAAATCAAGAACTAGCAAATTAGTCAATAAATTTTTCCAATGAAGACTATGGACCATATAAGAAATGACAGTAATAAAGTCAAAGAAAAACAGATCAAAAATGAACAACGGCCCTAGAAACTATGGAATACACATTAACAAAAATGTAAGCAAAAACATCATGGTAAACTAGGAGCTGAAACCAGAGAATATAGTATAAATCAAGAGAATTTATTCTAAAATGACTTCATGAGATGATCCTTGTAGGTCCTTCTGAAGTTGAGGCGTTCTGGCTTAATGAAAAGAAGAACAGCGTTTGTGAGGAAAACGTAGGGCACTGGGCAAGGCTGAGGCAGGACTGGGCGAATGTTGAGCAAGGAATTTATCTAGGTCAGCTCTGCTGTGTGGAGAGAACAAGTGAAGGTGAAGGGAGGAACAAAAGGCAGACTATACAGGGAGATTAACAGGTAGAAAGCTCTGAAGTGCAGGGTTTTTTTTTTCTTCTCCTTTGATTTCTAGTATTCTCAAAAGGGAGCTTAGGTGATTTTTCTAAGGTGGAGATTGAAAAAGATGATTCTACTTGGATAGATAAGATATGCAGACATAGAGGGGGTTATTCTGTTAGGCACTGGAATAAGAATGATCAACATAATAAGTATATTTCACATATTAGTACAAACCAAAAACAGCATTTACTGACATCAGAACAAAATAAAAGAGGCAAATAAAAGAGGATTCTTCCAGAAACAAATGTAAGGAAATCAGAGGACAGCAGAGTAGATGATAGTTATTGGAAAATAAGGTAAATGGCATGTCATAATACAGACTTAACAAGTCATAAAGTTATGTTTCATAAAGTTTATGAAACGTACTTTTTATTAAAAACGGATTTTATAAGTGAAAAGTGAAAACTTCAGGAAATTATCTGCATAATCAAATTGGCTTTCTGTAGTGATAACAACTAAATGAACTTATTACCGCCGCAGTGTCCTTTTCTTCTACACTTTTGGACTCAGAAAAATTCTAGTCTCTATACTTCTTTAAGTGAAGGTTCTTAAAAACTTTGAATATTTAAGGAAAACATAGAATTACTGGCAAAAAAAAAAAAAAAATACCTCTTAAAGACAGCTACTAAAAAGGGCCCAGTTAAAGAGGTCTGACTGGTAAAACAGTATCTTACATATTTTAATAAGTTCTGCTGTAGATCTCTATTTTAGCTTCCCTTAACAAATATTTTTAAATATAAAAAGACTACTTTCATTCAAACAGAGTCTCATTCAGGTTAGTATAATTTGTTCAGCATGTGACATAGATATTGGATATAAAACACCCTTATAAGTGAAAAGCGGCACAGACAAGAGAGTAACTTAAGTTAAAATTTTATGTTTCAAGTTCTTAGTGGAGAAAAGGTACACATATTTTTAAATTCTAAATCATTTACCCTCTGCAATTATCTCTTCTACCAGAACTCCAAAATCAATTTGACTGGACTTTCATTTATGCTTTAAATAGGAAAAAAAAATGACACATTTCCAAATTTAATTAACCAAAACAAAAATTCCTAGGACACCCCATGTAATTCTGAGTGGACTAAACAATACATCTTAGTAGCCCAGGACAAAAGGTCATTTGGAAGGGATGTGCCTTTAAGGGTTTACAAAGGCTTGGTCTTTAGTCCTGTAATAAAAGAGGAAGCACATCTCAGAAAGGAAGGATGCCCACTTTAAATAAGGAAATGGGTTTGCAGGATGCACACATGCTGCTTTCTATTAATGATAAGCACAATCTACAAAAAGAGCCTCAAACTGCTTTAACTTTCATGTGGAATACCTGCAGAGAATGCCTAACATAAACAAAATGACAAGTAATAAGTCCACTTACCATTTTATTAAATGATTTATGTATTCATAATAGAGGCTAGTAAATACTGATTACTATATTCCAGTTAAGAGCTGTAATTACTGATGTGATGACTGTATGCCAGGATCAACGCCAATAATCTTTTGGAAGAGAAGCATACTTTAGAGGTTTATGAGGATAATTATGCAGGATAAGATGGCTTTGCTGTGAGATTTTTTTTTTAACCAAAGGAAATAATAAGGCAGAGATTTCTTGAGATCTTTACCATACGATTTTAAAAAATACTTTATTGTAAT